GAAAGGGTTAGTTCAGTCCATGGGAGATGACTGTGATGAGGAGAAATGGATAGAGTAGAAAGAGTAATATGCTTTGTCTTTTTTGTTTTTTTAATTATGAAGTATTTCAAACATACCAAAAAAGTAGAGAGGTGAAATAAAGGACCCTCACCATCCATATTTAACATATGCTACAACAGTGCCATACAGGACAGTAAGTTTTACATTGAGAAGACTAGGCTCGAGAAGGCTAGATTACTGGGCAGCCGTGCAACGTCAGGTTTTTTGCTTCTTTTCTGCCTGTATAGTGGGAATGATGATACTCTCTTCCCTCTCCACTCTCCAGTTTCTTCCACAAACTTATATATTAAGTGTTTGGCACATTCTTTGCCCTCAAGGAGCTTATACTTTGTAGAGGAGGAGTGATATACAATGCGCACAACAGTGGGTAATCACTGGGTGCAGCGCCATTGGCCACAAGATACTATTCACTTACCACATACTTTGATCCAATTTGTGGACATTTTACTTAGTTGTTTTTTTTTTAATTTAAAATCTTTGCTCTAAAATGCTATGCTTATTTGTTTTGGGTTTTAGTGTTGTGCTAGCCTAATAAAATATTCTCTTTTCAAAAATGTTCCTTCCCCATCTTCTTTTTTGCAGCTTGGTTAAAATTTGCTCATGGATTTTTAAATCCTAATCCTCTCTTTACAACCTTTTAAGACACTGAGTTCTGTTCAAATTTAGTCTATCAGTGGTATGTTTCATTATTTTAAACCCTTCCTTCTCAGCTATAACTAGAGAATTTTTTAGAATGTACTTTAGAGAAATTATTTGGAGGATAAACAATTGGTTAGGAGTTAAAATCCTTCTCACCTTTGGGTTTCCATAATTAACCCAGAAGCAAATAAACTTATGTGTCACATCATTATACTTGTAAAAGACAATGTGGATTTTAAAGTCACACCAATAATATGATATTTAGCAATAAAAGATTTTTTTTTTTTTAAAAAACAACAACAACAACAACAACAAAAACTATCAAATTAACCTTTCTTCAAGAAGTCAATAGCATGGTGGTTCAAGCCCACCAGCTATGCCCCGAAGAAAGGCGGGGCAATCTACTTCCATAGTGATACCACCACGGAAACCCAAGGAGGGGTTGCTATGAGTCGGGTCCGACTCGACAGCATATGACAACAATCCCACAGAACTAGAACTACACCAGCATTTATTAATTTTAAAGAGATTGAAAATTCTTACATATATTAAAGAGAGGAAGACTACAACTAGAAATGTATCTCAGAATGCATATGCTGGGAAGAGAAAGCAAGTGACGGACTCTAGGACCAGACGTCCGTATTTCCGCCATTTGTAGAAGGTGTTTAGCAGGAGCTGGGATTTGCTCAATAAGGACCCAGAGTGACACAAAATACTTTAATCTCCAGGCAAAATTGTTGTCTTCACTAGCATTGACTTCCAAATTAAAGGTAACACATTAAATTCCTTTAAATGTCCACACTTTGCTATGACTAAATATTAAGAGGAAAATATACTTGTTTACTTGTGTTATAGACATCGACTGTAAGAAGCCTTCTCCATGTCTTTCCCTTCTACCCTAAACTCTTCAGTATTTCTTCAACTTTATAATTATTTGGTAGGTGGAAGCAGGGAGCTCTGGTACCTAAGGCATTTGATTGCTAACCAGAAGGCTGGCAGTTCAAACCCACCAGCCGCTCCTCGGAAGGAACGTTGGGCAATCTACTTCCACAGAGACACTCTTTCAAAAACCCGAGGAGGGGTTGCTATGAGTCAAGATCAACCTGACAGCAGTGAGTTTGGTTTGGTTTGGTTAGGTGGAAGGGGATTTTTCAAAGACCTGTGTCTTTAGCTTTGGTGGTACAGTGGTTAAGCAGCTCAGCTGCTAACCAA